GCCGTGTCCTCTATGAGGAAATCCTCCAGGGCCTCTCTTGGTACATGGACATGACACAAATTATGATAATGACTTTGAATAACTTTTCACAATGCTAATCAATGCCACTTGGTCCCTGTGCGTGACACCCATCTCTGTGAATTCCACCACACAGGGTGCTCACACAGAGAACCAAGAGTGCCGTCAGAAACTGCTTCAGTGAGACCACCAAGGCCTCCTTTAGATTGGAAAAACAAACCTATTATGTTTTATTTAGTGTGCCAACACCACAGCTTTGCTCTCTCTAGAAAATAATTAAGCCTAGCTCTTCTTCCTGTCTGGAGAGGGAATCTTTGGCTGAGATAGAGTCACGGGGAGCGTCACATTTGCTCCTTTAGGCCAGGATGGAAATCACTCACTTGCTCAGGACACTGCTGTCGGCCGTCAGAAGGCGTTCCGCCAGCCACCCCTCTCGTCAGATTGGCTCTGAAAGTGCTGAGCTGAATGCAGCGTGAAGGTGAATCCATACCATGCTCTCCGATGCTCTCCTTTCTCCCTCCCTACTCTTACAAGCACCCCCATGAGCCGTCTCGGCCTTTGGATGGTGACCTTATTGGTGTATTCCGTCTTGTGGGACACATCCTACGGGTTGTCGTTTGGTGTCATGGCACAAGGTGACCCGGTTCTGTAATGATGTGTGTAGAGGGGGTTTATTCCTTCCCACTGCCCTGGATTGGTCCATTTGCCCTCTGTGCAGCTGAAGGGCATTTGGGTGGTTGTCTTATGAATCGATGCCGCGGTCAGTACTTGGGGTGCTTCCCTCTGCATGTGAACGGCTCTCTAGGCTATGCAGAAATGAGATTTTGAGGCTGGGAGACAAAATTTCAGTTCTGCTAAATGTGCCCTTGTTCTTTACTCATCTGTGAAGGTTAATCCTATCTACCTGGTGGGGTTTGGGATGACACCAGAAACCAATGTCTGGGCACATCTGTGAGGGAGTATCTAGAGGGGATTAACTGAAGGAAGAGACCCGCCCTAATGTGGGCAGCACATTCCATGGCCTGAGGTCCCAGACTGAGAACTTAAGCACCGGTGTTCAGAATTCTTGCTTCCTATGGCCGAAGTGTGACCAGCCGCCTCTCTCCTCCTGCCATGTCTTCCCTGCATGACACACTGTCACCCTGGAACTGAGTGCCACATAAACCCTTAAGTTTTGTCAGGTCTTTTGCTCAGCGACGAGACACCATGTTTTCCTCTACCCTTGCTTTTCAATTTATCTCATTTGATAAGCTGATTACTTTCCCCTGCATCTCAGATAACTCAGAATAATGAGCATGCCTTCGCTTTTCTTCCCCGTGTTGTTTCTCCCATCTTTAAAGACCCTGGATGTTTCAGCCAGATCATGAGCTCCTGGAGGGAGGGGCTGGGCTGGACAGGGCCTCTTCAGGTGCAGGCTGTCTGCTGTCCCTTTCTCTCCTCCACAGAGCCCTTCCCCAAGCTTCATGAGCCACATTCATCTTCCCAAACATCCTTTGCTAGGGATTAATACTCAGCATGGCATCCTGAATGCTGTGCCTCTTCTGGTCCACCCCAGTGCACCCGATGGGTTATATGTAGAACTAGCCAGGAAGAAGCCTGAGCCATCGGCCAAATAATTATATTAAGCCTGTGAATGATGATTTTATAAGCAGCTGTGGGGACCAGCAGGTGGGAGACACACTGGTCCAGCAGGACCAGGTGAGACATCAGCCTCTGCTACAAAGCCTCCCATTTGACCATAAACCCTCACCTCACCCCATCCCTTCTGCAGCTGTCACCACATTCCCCTCCATGACCCCACGTGGGTCTCACTGGATGCACTTACGGATTCATCTTGTGTAATTTCCTTGGCCTCTCCACACCTTCCTCCTCTCTTTAACACTGAGGGCAGGCATTACAGAATGAAACTGTGTGGAAAGCCTATGTCCTGAGCACATAACTACTCCTTAAAGATGGGGTCCAACTTTCCCAGCACCAAAGACAGACCTTGCAGAAACTATGTACCCCAAAAAGAGGTTGAGCTGACCCTCGCACCTTGCACACATTTAGCTCAGTAAACGTGGGGTGACGTTGGGTGTGCTTCCCTGAACTGTACCGCCTTCCAGGAGGCCTGACAACACTTTCCTGATTTGGAGGGACTGAGGATGGAAGAGAGGAGTCCACAGTATGTCCCTTCTGCCAGTGACCTTGACGTTCCTTTTGCTTTGGGTTTTCCCAAAGTGGGGTGCCTTCCATGATAGACGTCCACTTTGGCAGTCTTCAAGGTGCCTCTTGAAGTACAGTAGTGTCTATGGTGTCTTCTCTCACAGCCTGACCTTGACTGTGTGTTCTTGAACCAAGGCCATAGGGACATTAACCACCCAATGTAACACTAAACTATTGCACACTGTCCTTCTTGGATCTTACATAGACACCAGTCAGTATGCCTTGGAGAAGTCCATGTAAATATGGAGAGTCTCCACAGAGAGATGACAGGCAGAAATGACTGTGGTACCCACCTCAAGTGTGCTATCCATCCACTTGTATCTAGACCAAGTGGTTCTCAACCTTCCTAATGCTGCAACCCTTCAACACAGTTCCTCACGTTGTGGTGACCCCAACCATAAAATTTTGTTACTTCCTAACTAATTTTGCTACAGTTATGAATTTTGATATAAATATCTATATTTTCCAACAGTCTTAGGCAACCAATGTGAATGGGTCATTTGATAGTCCCCTACAAAGGGGTCACAATCCATGTGTTGAGAACCACAGAAATAGACCATCTGGAGTATATGTTTTACCTGTGGTGCTGGTCCCAGTTGTATTATACGTCCCACCATGGTACACATCCTACCTGCGGTTTTCATCACAGCACTGGTACACATCCTACCTGCGGTATTCATCCCAACACTGGTACACATCCTACCTGCGGTATTCATCCCAACACTGGTACACATCCTACCTGCGGTATTCATCACAGCACTGGTACACATTCCACCTGAGGTATTCATCACAGCACTGGTACACATCCTACCTGCGGTTTTCATCACAGCACTGGTACACATCCCACCTGAGGTATTCATCACAGCACTGGTACCCATCCTACCTGCGGTATTCATCACAGCACTGGTACCCATCCTACCTGCAGTATTCATCACAGCACTGGTACACATTCCACCTGAGGTATTCATCCCAACACTGGTACACATCCTACCTGCGGTATTCATCCCAACACTGGTACACATCCTACCTGCGGTATTCATCACAGCACTGGTACCCATCCGAGCTGCGGTGTTTATCTCAGCTATGCTAACCATCCTTTTTGGGAGGTGGGTGGAGGGAGTTGAGACAGGGTTTCTCTGTAGCTTTAGAGCCTGTCCAAGCCTGTCCTGGAAAGCTCTAGTAGACCAAGCTGGCCTTAAACTTGCAGAGGTCCATCTGCCTCTTTCTCCCAAGTGCTGGGATAAAAGGCGTGTTAACCATCTTTATTGATGTATTCATATTTAATAATTGAAGTAGTCAGCCCAGCTGTGGTACCCATCCCAGTTACAATGCTCCTCTCAACTGTGGAACCCTTCCCAACTATGGTATCATGCCAGCTATGGTACCATCCCAGCTGTCGTACCCATCCCATCCAGAGTATCCTTTCCATCGTGGTACCCTTCCCAATTGTGGTACCATCCCAGATGTGGTACCCATCCCATAGAGTATCCTTTCCATCGTGGTACCCTTCCCAATTGTAGTACCATCCCAGATGTGGTACCCATCCCATCCAGAGTATCCTTTCCATCGTGGTACCCTTTCCAATTGTGGTACCATCCCAGATGTGGTACCCATCCCATCCAGAGTATCCTTTTCATCTGTGGTATCCTTCCCAATTGTGGTACTATCCCAGATGTGGTACCCATCCCAGTTACAATTCTTCTCTCAGCTGTGGAACCCTTCCCAACTATATAGTATTATACCATGTATGGTACCATCCCAGATGAGGTACCCATCCCATCCAGAGTATCCTTTCCATCTCCAGTACCCTTCCCAACAGTGGTATCTTCTCAGATATAGTACCCATCCCACTTGGAATATTCTTTTCATCTGTGGTATCCTTCCCAATTGTGGTACCATCCCAAATGTGATGCCCATCCCATTTGTAGTAACTTTTCCATCTATGGTACCCTTCCAGATGTGGTACAGTCCATCCCATTCATAGCATCCTTTCTATCTGCAGTACCCTTCCCAACTGTGGTACTATCTCAGATGTGGCACCCATCAAGCTGTGACAATCAACCCAACAGTAGTACCCATCCCTACTATGGTCCAGAACTGGGTGACTTCTGGCGAGGTCCAGGAAGACTTAGACTGTCCTGAGGTGTCCGCAATTTCTCTGGTTCTCCAATGTCTGCCAAGATCGTCTATGTGGCTTCCTGGCTCTTCATTCAGAATGTTGGGAATAACAAATGCTCTGCTGCATGCCCAGCTCAGAAAAGTGTTTACCAGGCAACATCTCGTGCATGGCCTTTGTCGTCCGTCTATCTCACTGGCCCGAACTGAGCCATGTGCCCATTTCTGAACCAATCACTCTGTGCATAAGGGAGACCCATCAGATCTGCTCCTAGGTTAGAAGAGGGAGATGACATGGCCAATTCCTCTGAAGTCTGCAGGTTCGTGGGAGAGGAATAAACGCCTAGAGACAGTTGAAATCAACCAGAGACCACACGAAGGGTATAGCCTAGCAATGTCCAGTAGAGGACCCGTCACCCAGTTGAGCACTCTGGCTCAACTCTCCCAACTCTTCCTGAGGTCACAGAGGAAGCCATGAAGAGGGGGGTCTCAGAAACCTAGCTGCTCAGAGCGTCCATCCTCCTCAGTTGTTCTTCCAGCCCCACACATGGGTCCCCATCCCGGCGCGAAGAGAAGTAGAACGCAGGGGCAGGGCTCAGACCTGGGCCCGCCTTTCTTTATTGATAGCACTCTCCGCGAGCTTCCTTCCAATGTCCTTTCAGCTACTTGCCCTTGGATCTGCCCTTTTCTCCGTATTTCTCTTCCAGTGCCTTTTGCAAGTTCATATTCATGGCATTTTTCTGGTGCCACCGTCCTGCAGGGATGAGGGGAGGGACCATCACAGGGGCCAGCAGCTTCCAGGAGGTCCAGACCCACTCAGTGTCTTGTCACCCCGGCCCCAGGCCCCTGCCTCCTGCCCTGCACCTTGCAGACACTCACCCTGTCCAGGGAGGAGAGGACCGCCCCGCAGCCCAGATTCCACTTACCTAGCTCATCCGTCTTCCTGCCGTGCCAATGCTCTACATCCCTCACTGATTTCTCAATCACCTCTGGCGTGTAGGAAGCCTTCATGAGGCTCTTTGTCTCCTGGGGTGGCCCTGTAGACACCGTGGAGAAATCCCTGAGTCATTGAACGTATGGCGCCCTATGCACCCTGTGCTGTATCTCAGTGTCAGTTTGCATGGAAAAGAGGGGAGTGGGAGAGTTTAACATCCCCCAGTGTTAAACTCTCTGAGTCTTGGATTATTTACCTACCCTAGGGGATACGGTCTTCTTTCAAGATTGGGAAGATTATGCTCGTCTTTTTTATTGTTTGTTTTTATTTTATGTGCATTGGTGTTTTGCCTGTATGCATGTCTGTGTAAGGGTGCCAGATTTCAGAGTTACGGTTATGAGCCGCCATGTGGGTGTTGGGGGCCGAACTCCCATCCTCTGAAAGAACAGCCAGTGCTCTTAACCGCTGAGCCATCTCATCTCTCCAGCCCATTTAAGCCTTTAAACTCAGCTTCCCACAGAGTCTCAGGGCAGGGATAAAAGTAGACACCTTGTCAGGCTCTAGCATGAATGGCCTTTAGCCCAGTTCCCGGGAGAATCCTTGTTCCCATCTGAACACACCATAATAGTCCACTGTTTACGTGTGCATTGATGGTGTGGGTTCCTCTGCTTCCCCAAGAATCACCCTTTAGTTGAGCCTGTAGCTCTCTGGGATTTCTCTAGCTCAAAACTCCAAAATTTCCAGATTCCTCCCACAAGCTAGTCTCAGAATCCCATGCTCAGGTTTAGTCACGGCACGGAGCTCACATCTCTGGCAAGAGTCACAGTGTCAACCAGTTTTTGGTCACTGTGGCAAATGCCTGAGCCAAAGAACTGAAGGCAGCTAAGAGGTATTTTAGCCCATGGTTCCAGAGGTTTCAGTTTAAGGGTTTGGGAGGAGGGGAGCTCATATCATGGTAGCCAGGAAACAAGGAAGGTGCCACCCACATCCTGGGTAGACTTTCACCTTACCTCCACACTCCTCCACCCTCCACCCACACCCTCTCCCCTCCACCCACACCCCTCAACCCTCAACCCTCCACTAACACCCCTCAACCCTTCACCCACACCTCTCCACCCTCCACTCCACACCCCTCAACCCACACCCCTCCACCCTCACCCCTCCACCCTCCACCCCTCCACCCTCCACTCTCCACCCACACCCCTCCACCCTCCACCCACACCCCTCAACCCTTCACCCACACTTCTCCATCCTCTACCCCATACCCCTCCACCCTTCACCCCACACCCTGACACACACACTTAGTTGATATTTCTGGAAACTGCCTTCCAGACACACCCAGAGGCTGGCTTACTAATCTTCTAGACCTCAGTCCAATCAGTGTGGCCGTCAAGAGCAACACCTACCACACTAGGTCAGAGTTCCACACTGAGCCACACCCCCAACCTGCTGCAAGTGAAGATATCCAAGGAGCTAAGGATAATTCCAAACTGTTCCCTCCAGGGAACGCCCTTACTGAATCAGCCCTCCTAGGAAGCAGCTGAGACAACAGATGAATGGATCGATTGACCCCTGCTCACTGTTGGGGCACAGACTGAGGCTAAGTGTTCAAAGTCACACAGCTGCAAAGTTAAAGAGCCCGGCCAGGGCAGCTCAACCTTTGACTTTAAAACAGGCGGGCATTGCACAGAGAGAGGTGGGAGAGTAACAACAGCCTTCGGCAGGCCTGAGAAGGCAGAGGACCCCTCTAATGCCTTCCGATGAGGATGTGTCTGTGATGCACCCGAAAATGTAAAAAATAACTAGAAAATGAAAAGAACACCAAAAAAGAAAAAAAAATGTGACTGCGGAGAATAAGAAGAAAGTTTGTGCAAATTTAAAAAAAGAAAAAGAAAAAAAAAACAAATAGAAAACACAAAGAAAGCATGGATCGACCCAAATTCATCAGCAACAGAAATAAAAACTGACTTCACTCACTGGTTTTTCTGGAGAACAGATTGCCAGAGTAAATAATTCCAGACCTGTATTATTTAAAGCATATATTTAAAAAAAGACACAAGGAGAGGATAAATATGAAAGGCTAGAAAAAGATACATCAGACAAAATGTCAGCTGAGCACAAGCTGCCACGGCTACACCCGTACCAGACAAAACAGCCTGTAAGTCAACAGCAGTAGGAGACATAAAAATAACGGGGGCTGGCACTATAGCTCGGCAGGTAGAGGCGCTTGCGGCCAAGTCCATGACCTGACCGAGTTCAATCCCTGGCACTCATATGGTGGAAGCAGAGCTCAGACTCTTGCAAATTGTCCTCTGACCTCTACAGGCATGACACAGTATGTGTGTGAGTCCCCTACCCCTTCATACAGGCACATTAAAAATAAAATCTTTTTAAAAATTTATATAAATAACTATGTGAGTTAGCTTCATGATTCTAAGCTTGCTTTATTGCGAGTATCTGAATAGACATAGCAAGATCCAGAGAGAAACTGATGAACCTGTTACCATCAGGAAGGATTTAGAGGTTCACCTTTCACTAATTAATAGATCAAGCGAGGAGTAGTATTAAAGAATGACAGGATTCGTGGAGAATCATTAACAGGCCTCTCCCTCTAGGCAAACACAAAGCCTCGAGCCAAAAGACCAGCCGAAAGCTCCTGAGATCTGCAAATGCAGTCGTGGGCTGGTCTGTAAAGCAGCTCCCAGCAACATCCACGGACCCGCAAAGTTCCTGCAGGCCGCATTCTCTGAGGATGAGGCCGCCAAGATAGAAATCACTCTGGAAAGCAAACTTGCAGGCTTGGGGTTTACAGTTGGCAAGGCTTACGTAACAGTGAATTAGAGGTTTGGTCAAAGCCCCCAGTCCTGATGGCAACCAGAATCAAAGTGGCAACATGACAGTCCCTGGACAGAACTTGAAGGCAGGCCCTAGGTGAGGCTGTCAAATGGCCAGATTTGGGGGGTATGGTGGCTAGCATCGTTTAAAAGGATTGCTCTGGCTTTTTAGATTCCCTGAGGCAGAGATGAAACCCGCTTCTCACCTCTCAGAATAAATCTAACTAGATGGGATTAGGGTTTGCTTTGGGAGCTCGTGCATTGCCTCAGAGTCTGGAGGATGGCCATAACAGAATAAAAATCTTCAGACTGAGATGGGTCAGAGCCACGTGGGCCAGCTGTGTCTCCAGTGCAGAGAACACCATGCTTCTGTGAAGCAACCACAGGCAGTAGAGAGACGTGCAACCCCAAGACCCCCAGGCTTTAAGAGGGTGGGTGCGCAGGGCACCAACAGAAGCACCAAGAACATCCCCAAACATCAGACTCCAGGGCGGGGGCGTGAGGAGACAGCAGGGGTGAGGACACAAGGTGACATAAAACTCACCACTGTGTTTGATTTCAAACCCCTGCCACACTTCAGCCTGCAACAGCGAAGTCAAAGACTGCAGGACTCTGGGGGTCCCGCCCCCCTCTCCTCTTCATGAATCCTGGCCGTGGGGGCTGAAGCAGTTGCCAGTCCAAGCCAAAGCCAAACCCAGACTCTGGAGCTTCCATCTGTGGTAGCTACACAATTCCAGTTCACCTTGTGAGGGTGTGTGGGTGTGTGTGCGCATGCACACGCCCCTCCATGCTGCATAGCCAAAGTAATTCTGGAGACTGAACCTAGGGCCTCAAACATGCTGAGCAAATGCTTTGCCACTTGGCTACATCCCAAGCCCCAGGAAATACCATTTTAAATAGTTATCTTCTACAATAGGATGGTAATTTATGACCCAAGCACTTAAGAAGCTGATGTTAAGAGGGTCACCCTGAGTTTCTGGCCAGCCTGGGCTACATAGTGAGATTCTCACTCAGAACAAAAACAAAGAAAAAGAAATCCATTTGCGATAAGTGGCAAAATGAGATTTTCTTACCCCAAATTACAAAATACTGAAGGAAGGTTTAAATGGAAGAAACTGTTTAGCATACTGATAAATTGAAAAATGAATTAGTACCACACTGACAATTGCCCCTGTGATGTGGGAGAGTCTTCTGTTTTGTGTTACTTTCATTGGTTAATAAAGAAACTGCCTTGGCCCTTTTGATAGGACAGAAAATTAGGTAGCGAAGTAGACAGAACAGAATGCTGGGAGAAAGAAGCCGAGTCAGTCTGTTGCCATAGCTCTCCTCTCCGAGATGAACACAGGTTAAGGATATTCCCGGTAAGACACCACCTCGTGGTGCTACACTCATTAGAAATGGGTTAATCAAGATGTGAGAGTTAGCCAGTAAGAGGCTAGAGCTGATGGGCCAAGCAGTGTTTAAAAGAATACAGTTTCCGTGTAATTATTTTGGGTAAAGCTAGCCAGTGGCCGGGTGCCCTCCTGGGTGGTGGGAAACAACCCGCCACTCCTACTACACCCCTGAATTGATTAACCGAGTCAATGTGCTCCAATCAAAACCCCAAAGAGGATTTTCCTGGAAATTGTCTAATTGATCCTCAAACAATCCTCACAATGAAGGGCCCAGAAACCCTCCAGAACTGCCTGATTGCGGCCCTAAGTATATCCTGGCTTCCCATTACCACTACTGTAACACATTCCCCTACACCCAGTACTTTAGGGGCAAGAAGGTGTGTGTTCCCAGATACCTTACAATATTTCAGTGACCACAGTGGCGTACTAGATGGGTGGCCAGATAGGAGAACCAGTAGTCTAGGAATAGTAGGTGAAGATGCGCTAATTTGTTTATGCTGTGGAATGTTTATTTCATCAGGCAAAGATGTGTTGCATTTGTTTAATTAACTCTGTGAAGCTGTGTTACTGTGCCTGCCTAAAACACCCGACTGGTCTAATGAAGAGTTCAACAGCCAAAATCTAGGCAGGAAACAGAAATAGGCAGGGACGCTAGACAGAATAAACAGAAGAGGGAAGAGCAGAAATGGAGAATAAGAGAATGATGTGGGGAAGGGGGCAGCTACACATTCAGCCACAAAATAAGAAGGAAAGAAAGGTATATAGAATAAAGAAAGGTAAAAGCCCAGAAGCAAAAGGTAGACAGGATAATGTAAGAAAAGCTGGCTAAAACTAAACCAAGCAAAGGCCGGGCATTTATAAGTGAGACTAAGTCTCCGTGTATTTATTTGAGAGCTGGGTACGGCCACCATAAGAGTAAAGAAAATTCGACCACACCAGAGCCTTTTGCATGTGGAAACCTGAAGGCAGACACCTGGGGGGCGGGGCAGAGGAGGTGGGAAGGATGGGACTCTTGGAGAGATAAATACTCCACACAAAAGAATTAGAAAGGAATCCTTCTCCCTGCCCACAGAAGTGGATTTGAAGTGGATTAAGGGCTTAAAGCAAGCCTAAGAAAGCAGAAAGGATTAGATCCATGACTCAGCATAGCCTGTGCTCCCTTTTGCTCCTGCAGGAAGACTCCATCTCCACAGCCAAGTAGCTTTCTTCAGGCTGCTCAGGTAAACTGCTTTGAAATCAGCCCAAATCCTGCTTTCACGCCCAAGTCCATTCTTTAGCCTGCTCTGCTTGATCTACTACCCCACCCGTACACAAATGCCCAGGCTCCTGGGGCTGTGTGACCTGAGCCCTCCTGAGCTGCCACTTGGCACACAGTGTTATTCTTTCGGTCCCTGCTCTAGCCACGCCCACTCCTTTTTAACCTCTGACCTCGCCCGCCATCGCTCTCTCTCCGTTTTCTCTCCCGGTGTACACACGGGGCTTTGCCTCTCTCCTCCTCTCTCTCCCTCCTTCTCTCCCTCTCTTTCTTCTCTCTCTCTCCCTTTTTTTCTTTCCCTCTTTCTTAATAAATGTTTATGGCTATTTCCTGTGTTTATATGTCTGTTACCGCTGCCACCGCCAGCACGGCTCGTGCCCTCCCGCTGGTGGGAAGCTGTAGCCGCTTTTCTCACGGTGACTCCGCCAGCCCGCCCCGGGGACCTACAACCGTCTCTTCGGGGCTAGCAGCTGCTTTTATGGCTCCATGGGTCTGCTCACATGCGCCCGCTGCATTGGGGGTTCCGCCGCGTGACTTCCCGCTGCCGCTGGGAACCCCCCATATATTTTTTTTAAATATTTATTTATTTATTATGTATACAGCATTCCTTCCATGTGTGCCCACAAGCCAGAAGGGGGTGCCAGGTCTCGTTATAGACGGCTGTAAGCCACCATGTGGTTGCTGGGAATTGAACTCAGGACCTCTGAAAGAGCAGTCAGTGCTCTTAACCACTGAGCCATCTCTCCAGCCCCCCCCCCATATATTTTTTAAGAATAACACACAGTGCCATCCAGATGTACAGTGCACCAGCCCAGCAACTGGACCTGAAATGTCTTTCAAGGGCCAATGTCGAACGCTTAATGCCCAGTTTGGCACTAATGGCAGAAACCAAGGTAGGGCCTACTGGGAGACTTCAGGTCACTGGGCGGGGGAGGAAAATCCCCTATGGGATAATGGGACTTGCCTTTTTTCCCCTTTGTTCTCACTTGTCAGTCATGAGGTTGAAGAGCTTTGACCCATCACACACACCCTGCCACGCTGTTGTGCCTCACCGCAGCCCCAGAAGGACAAGAAGCCAACTGATGGTAGCCTAGGTGACCTCCAAATGCCAACTGATCGTAGCCTAGGTGACCTCCAAAGACATGAGCCATGAGAAAGATCTCCTCTGCTTTTGGTTTAAGGGTTTTATTCTTGTCACCAAGGCTAACCTGGAACTCACTAGGTAGTCTAGGCTGTCCTCAAACTCATAATAATCCCCCTGCCTCTGCCTCCTGAGTGCTGGGATTATGGACATGTACCACCACATCTAGTTAACCCTTTAATAAGTTGAGTATCTTGGGCATTCCTGTTACAATAACAAAAGGCTAATAAGCATACCAGGCCACCATCATGTGTCCCCCTCCTGGATGTTTATAGTCCTTCCTCACTGCTGTCCTCGTGTCTGCCCTACCCGGTCCCACAACTCCCTGTGTCCGAGTGTTGGAGCAATCCTTCATTCAAGCCGAGTGAGCCCATTCCTCTGCCTCCTGTACTAGCTTAGTCTCCTACTCTACCTTCGAAAAGACTTCTCTACCCTGGTCTGGCTTCTCTACCCTGCCTCAATACAGCACACCTCACCACTGCCATCCACAAATGCCAAGGTGAATGAATCCCCATGGTGGGGCCTTGACGCGGACACTGGCGGTCACATGCTTAGAGTGCTGCGGGTCGAAGCCCTCATTTTGGTGCCAGTCTCCCCATACAGGCTACTCCCACCTAGTTGTAAGATACCATTTGTATGCCAGTCACTTCGGGAAAACCCAACAATGGTCCCTTGTGAGTCTAGCTTTGCGAGCTAGCAGGAACTGGTTCCTGCTCACCCTTGGCACACTTCCTCTGCCTAGGCTGGGTGAGGGGAGCACAGACTCTTAAGAACAGTATTCTTTCATGCTCATATTCACATTTTATAACGTTGTAGGTAAGATCTTTTGGGTGACCAGTGTCAATGAGAAAAGGCAGAATTCCGGGCTCCAAAAGAGAGGGCAATTTGATCTGATCTGGCCTTCCTCCCCCTGCACCACCTCTTCCTCAAACTCAAAGAAAAACCCAGAGAGGCTTCCAGTGTGTGTCTGGTTCCTCGGGTGACAGGGACCCAAGCCAGGGGAAAGAGGCCTGCCAGACCCTAGGAGCACTGGAAACAGCGGGAGGGAGGAGGACCTAGGAAAGTAGGCCCTTGACAGGGAAGCTGAGCGGAAAGGGTGTAGCGAGAAGCTCCTGCATGCTCAGTGTATACCCCATCTCAGCAATCGAGGAAGCCTGGGGAATCCTCTTAGCCCTAGGAACCGTCCTTGTGAGTCCTACTTCTCTTCACACGACAGATCTTGAGCACTTGGCTGCAAGCCCAGCCATGACATGAAGTTCATGGCGCCCCAGAGCCAAACAGGATTAGACAGGCCAAATTATCCTTCTGGAAATGGCACCCCTCCAATTCACCTGTCCTTTCCTCCAGGTGATGCCACCACTAGGTTCCGGGGAAGACAAATGAATGGCCTGTCACCCCAACCCCTGTACTGGAACCTGCCCGTGGCCATAAGGGCCACTCTGGTTATCAACCTGGTTGCATAGGGAGGGCTCCTTGCTCATAGTCATCCCCAGCTAGGGAGTGGCCAACTGACCTTTGAACCCAAGAAAGCTGATATTGTCACTGTCACCAAAGGTGTTAGGTCAGGGATGCCTGGGCCTCCCCCTTGTAGACTAGGAAACCAGAGGTGTCCAGTGTGAGGGCCTCACTACCAAGTGGGCTGCATCACCTGCACAGTGAAGACACACCGGCCAGGGTCTAGCTGGTCCTGGCATTCCTGTAGGACATGCCAGCATGAAGGATGCCTTAGGTGCTTATAAACTGAGTATCTGTGGAGCTATGCATTGGGGCCTTAAGGCCCAGGTAGGGTGGACACCCCAAAGGCCTTCTGTGCCCAATGTTCTCTGGACCACGCATGCTCACGGTCCCACCCTGGCCTTTGTAATCTGACCTTGAAACAAGTTGGACCGCATGTGGTAGCCCAGGTCATAGTAGTCTGTGAAGATGGAGGAGATTTGTGCAGGGCTCTGGGTCCTGCTGGGCCATGAGCTTGACCTCTTCTGGCCCTCAAAGATTTCACCAATGGCCTTTCGAGCCTGAAGGAGGAGGCAAAGGAAAGAGACAAGTGATGGGAAGGTAAGGACGTGCTGGCTTCCTGCTCCCCTGCCTTCCCCACTGCAGGCTTAATCCCCCAGGGCAAACTCTGCACCTCCCCATCCATTTCCTCCTCCCAGTCTTAAGTGATTCTACACATATTGAGCTCTTACTGGGTACACCATCAGGCAGTGATTCTACACATATTGAGCTCTTACTGTGTACACCATCAGGCTGTGATTCTACACATATTGAGCTCTTACTGTGTACACCATCAGAAGAGGGTCTTCATAGGGTGAGCCTGTCCCCGCCATTTTAGAAATATGGAAACAGGACTTTAAAAGGCCAGACTCCCCCAGTTTACACAGCTTGCAGCTTACTATCAAGGCGTCCCACAAGCCAAACTTCTTAGTTTACACTGAGACCAACTTCTTCCTCATATCAAGAAAGAAACTGAGGCCCAAAGGAACGAGTCTGGGCCTATGGGTCAGGAAACCTGAGTATGAGCCCATTCTGACATAGAGCAGCTCTTGACTTCGGCAGGTCTTGGACCCTCTCTAGGCCTTGGTTTCTCTGCTTGTAAAATCTGGGTGGAAGGCAAACCTGAGAGTCTGCAAGGAGCTTTTAGCTCAGACATTTGCCACTTCCGTGGCACCGGGGACCTGTGTCCTGGAAGCTGCGGTGGACAGGCAAATGGTGGCTAAACAGAAATGGCGTCTTCCCAAGGCCAAGAGTGAACACACCCATCTCCACTGGAACAAATCCCTCCAAGTAGGGAAGAACATTTAAGGCTGTGACCCACCCCCAGAGTGTCTGATGGGTGGAGTTATTATACCTTGAAATGACAAAAGAGGGCGAACCCGGGAGGGCCCTGACCCTGTGTCTTTTATTGCACGGATCTACTGGCCTGTGGGTCTGAGCAGATCACACACAATGCCTCTCCTGGTCCCAGCTACCCTCTGTTTAAAAGGAAGCAATAACCTCTGCCCTGCTGACCACAGATTGTAGTTGTTGAAATGGTGGCCTTCAAATAGGACTCAATACGAATGAAAGCTTATCCTTTGACTAAAACTGGCAGGTGAATTTAGTCTCAATTTTCAATTGATAAGTAATGGCTGTCTAGAATAATAGAGCAGGTGGGGAAGAGTGCCAAGATTGATTACTCATGCCTGCCATGAATAGGGCTAGACTTGTGGTATGCCTGCCATGGATTCATCAGCCTGAATGGTTTGGGTGCTTCATTTTGCAGATCTAGTACCTGAAGGCCAGAGATAGAAAGCAATTTAACGAGAGTCACCTGGCCTGCGGAAATAGAGCCACTGGGGAAATAGAGTCACAGGAATAGAGCCACAGAAATAGAGCCATGGTCCAAACCTGGGTCTCTGATACCCAGTAAGTGTAGTCTATACATGCACGTTGGCCCTCTTAGGAGATGTGTTCAGATTGAAAATGTCTAATGCAAACAACAGACTTGTAATTGCAACGTCGGTAGCAGCCAGGGTACTAGAACAGGCTCTAGATCCTCATCCACGTGACTGGGTAGATGTGGCTGACTTGCTTAGCTCCTCTTGCCTTGGACTTCGTGTGAAATGGTGGTGATACCTCTTGCCTCATAGTCGTCACGCACAAAGGCTTGAGACAGCACACGGCGCCTAATGCATAGCAGGTCTCAGTAAACGCCACTTCCTAACAGTTTAGGGACCGGTTCCAGAAATGAAATTTGAACTCATGAAGTCTCCACGCAACCCTCTCCCACCGTCAGTCTCCCATGTCCCTGCTCTTCACCTGTTCCTCAGAGATCAGATGGTCCACCACCTTGCTCCCAAACTTGTGGCGGATGTTCTCAGGAATGGCGCTGTCCTTCTGGCTCAGGGACACTGTCCGCTCTGGGGTCTCCCTGGATTCTCTCGAGTTGAATCTAGATGCCCCCTTCTTCAGATCCTCGGGCTGTGAGCCCATGGTCAGAGAAGTCCTGCTGGCAGGAGTTGGTGGCGGAGGTGGGACCTCCAGGTGGCCCTGGCCCAGGGAACTGCCTCGAGGGCTCTGAGGGAGCCCTGGCTGGTGCTTGAATGTGGAGCCGTCCAAGTTGCTATGGGCAGCTCTCCGTGAGTCCATGTCCTGCTGGCCCTCCTTGTTGTCTGGCTGGGTCCTTGTCAAAGTGGTTGTACCTGAGCAGGTGGGAAAGGGGGGCAGAGAGAGACAGGAAACCACAAGACAGGTGTGAGAAGCAGAAGCAGGAAAGGTGACAGAGGGGCCAGCAGAAGGAAAGCAGACAAAAGCCGGAGAGCCAGAGGCAGACAAGGGCATGGAGCAGAGAAAGCAAAGGATCCCAAGGCAAGGTGAGAAAAGGGAGAGGAGGGAGACAGAGAAAGGTCAGTGAGCAGACCTCCACACGACAGGGTTGTCCCCATAGAGCTATGACCGTAGGGGCTGTGACCCAGGCCTGTCCAGCCTTAATTAGGCCTAACAGCATGACCTTTAAACAAGAGATTCGCCCTCTCTGTGCCTTGGTGTCCCCTGGCTCACTTTGGTAAGTTCCCTTTCCCACTGTGAACCCCAAGAAACCATTCGATGAATCCAATAAGCATGGGGGTGGCAGAGGTGACTCTTGGCTTGGCCAAATTTCAGGACTGCAAAGTGCCAGAATGGGGTCCCAGCCTTGGTCTTTGCTCCCCAACACCTCCTCTGCCTTCCATCCTAACCACCTCCCAGGATCTCAGGGATACTAATGGCTCCCTCTCTTATTCCCGCTTGTATCACTTCAAAACTCCTGATGCCAGAAAGACTGCTAGCCTCATCCCGTGGACCTCCACTCCTGTCATCCCTGGCTCAGACAAGGGACTGCTGCTGCCTTCCCTGCACACCCCGAGACACCCCATCTCTCAGCTTCCCCTAGACGGGTCCACTCCATGCTGAGGCAGTCGCCCCCTTTTTTTGAAGTTTTTAACTTTTATTTTTATGTACACAGGTGTTCTGCCTGCATGTACGTGTATGTTTATGCACCACATGTATACAGTGGGAGGCCTGAAGAAAGCGTTGGGTTCTCAGGTATTGGAGTCACAAACAGTTGTGAGCCACCATGTAGGTACTGGGAATCGAACCTGGGTCCTCTAGATGAGCATCTATGGTTCTTAACTGCTGAGCCATATCTCCACCACCCACCACTCCCCTTTCTTGAAAGTAAATCAGACCCTTTCTTCAAGTGTGTGCGCACACACACACATACACACTCATGCACACATGCATGCACATACTCCCGCAAACACTTCCAAGCTGGTCGAGCCAGTTCTCTGGTCAACACCCAACACTGTCCACAGTCCACCCTCACAGCCCTGGGTTTTTCCTTTCTACCTCACTGTGAGTTCCACGACACCTTTCTCCTCCTAGATAAGGGGAGAGGATCTCACAAGTGAAATCCATGTAGTGGGTCAGTCTCGGGCCTTGCACAATACCCCAAGGTGCACAGAACGTTAAAGCCCTTTAGTAAGGGAGAAAACAAGTGACTGGCTGCCATGTTACAAGAAACACCAGCACCTCACCCAGGCCAAGAACCGTCTCCTCTCATTCCCACTGCAAACCATGCGACAGCTAATGTGTCTGAATGGGGCTAACCAGGAGTGTTCTCTCTAAGTGATATGGCCGTGTGTCTGCCGGTATACCCGCTGTGTGCAAGTCCTCATGCCCCTCCCAGCCTGCCCCCATCCTCAGTCCCAGGAGCCAGCCAGAAATGTTTGGGTAGCTTCCCCCTAAGTATTCCTGAAGAGGCTTCCAAGTCTACAACAGACAGCTTGTTTTGCTTTTGTGTATAAATGAAATCTGACTTCACGATGCACTGACCGACTGTTTAAAAAACCTCTCTGCCCTGCAGGGACCCAGTCCACTCCACAGAGAGGGAGGGCACGGTCCTTCCTTCTTCACACTCCCTGCCTGCTACCCTACTGTTTGGCGGTCACCAGTCAGGCTTTTAGGGCAGGCTGGTGCAAACATCAGACTTCACTGCTGTGACTCTCTTGCTCTGTTGCAAACCCCTCTTCTCCCCCAGGGAGAGGGCACAGAGAAAACTGGGCACTCTCTCCCCCTTTCTTCCAGCTTCCTCCTGCCTTTCTTGTTCCACTCTTTGTCCCCACCCCTTTATTACCCACAAAAGGCAAGGGGAGAAACTGTCTCCTGGAGCCAGATGGCCCTCCCAACCCCCTTCTGGGTTCTGCCCAAAGCAGCAGGCAGCCAGGCAGTGGGACCTCCGGGGACAACTAAGGCTGCCAGAGTAGGAATCTTAAGTGGAACACACAGCATGATACACAGAGACACAGCACCTGCCTGGTCGGCTGAAGCTTCACCTGCCCACACCCCTTCCTGATCCAAGGTTCAGGGATATGTCTCCAGCCTGCCCTCCTGGTTGCCTCATCTGCTGAGCCATTATGAAGTAACAATAACAACCAAGCTAGTCTTCTGCCACCCTTCTGGGTTAGTAGCACTTCAGGCCTGGCTGTGTCCTGTGTTTTTGGACTCAGCAGAAGTCCTTTTGTCCACTGTGTGCCTTCCTACTACGTGTCTGGCAGTGAACCAAGGCTCTGGAAAGACAAGTGGAAAAAGAGCCAGCGAGTTTCTGAGCTCTAAGAGCAGAGTATTTGGATGGATGGGATGGATGGATGGATGGATGGATGGATGGTTTGGATGGTTGAATGGATGGGATGATTAGATGAATGAATGGATGGGATGGGATGAATGGATGGATGAATGGGATGGAATGGATGGATGGAAGGGATAGTGTGGTAGTTTGAATGTAATCAGCCCCTATAAACTCATAGGGAGTGACACTATTATTAGAAGTGGTTTTGTTGAAGTCAGTATGGCCTTATTGGAGGAAGTGTGTTTCTGTGGAGGTGGACTTTGAGGTATCCTATGCTCAAGCTACACCTAGTGACATAGTTCACTCTCTGTTGCCTAAGGATCGATATGTAGAACTCTCAGGTCCTTCTCCAGCACCATGTCTGCCTGCTTACTGCCATGCTTTGCCATGAGGATAACTGAGTAAACCTCTGAAACCAATTAAATGTTTTCCTTTATAAGAGTTGCCATGGGGCTGGAGAAATGGCTCAGCAGTTAAGAGCACTGGGTACTCTTTCAGACATCTTGAGTTCAATTCCCATCAATCACATTGTGGCTCACAGCTGTCTATAGAGGGATCTGATATCCTCTTCCAGCATAAATGTGTATATGCAGACAGAGTATTCAATCAATCAGTCAATCTCTAGGGACTGGAGAGACAGTGCAGCAGTTAAGAGCACTGGCTGTTCTCCCAGAGGACCCGGGTTCAATTCCCAGCACCCCACATGCACCTCACAACTGTCTATAACTCCAGTTCCAGGGGATCTGAAATCTTCACACACCAATGCACATAAAATAAATTTTTTTTTTAAAAGTTGCCATGATCATGGTGTCTCTTCACAGCAATAAGAAATCCTAACTAAGACAGATGGAATGGATGATGGATGGATGGATGAATGGATGGATGGATGGATGGATGGATAATTAATAGATGTCTGCATCTGACCTTTCTAAAATCTCATTGTGCCTCTGATCATTATCAGGTGGACAGAGTAAGGAAGCCCAGCTTTGTTTACTACCATGACCAAGGAAGGACCATGAGCAGAATTTTCTAGCTCTGGCTTTTTTTATCAAAATACCTATCACACTCACTGAAAAATACAGACTCTGGAGTCAGACTGCTCCAGGAAAGGCCCAGAACCCAAGGATTTAAAAATCTACCGGAATGACTGGGGTCACTGGGAAGCTTGAGGCAACTGAAGCTCCCAGTGCGCCCCCCCCCCCCCGTGTAATCGCCATCTCCAGCTACCCTGGGGGAGCCTTCCCAGCGTTGACCTGGCTCTGCAACACCTACATAGGACTCCTTTCCCTCCAGGCTGGCATCTTTGTCTCCAGTACACAGAGCATAAATGCACATCCTCTCTGCCACCAACCCCAGCCCATACATTATCCTATGCTGGGCTCAGTCAGGCCTGACGTCCCCCCAACCCTGACCAATGTTCTCAACAGTTCTACACTTCAGATGCATAAGAGTGGCTGCCAAGCCCTTCAGCAACCCCATCTTAACCCCAAGAGACCAGAGACCCGGAGCACATGACGTCAGTTTCCAGGCCTGGCTGCTGAAGGCTCCGAAGCTCTTTCCTCTAGTTTTCTTCTGGTCTTAGAGTGTCCTGAGTCATTTAGGCCATTCCATATGGAGACCTCAGCAAAACTAAAGAAGACGAGGAAGGGAGTCCTCCACCCCCACCCCACCCTAAGAAACCCGTCTTTGCCGGTAGTGTTCCTATCCTACCTGGCTTCTGGCCCAGCTCCATGGACTCTGGCTCTGGGACCCGCAATTTCTGAGCTTGGCCCTGTAGACAAAGCATCACACTCTGAGTGGTTTCAGGTGACATTTTCCATAAAGGATGACAGCTGAGAACTGATCGGAGAGGCCCCAGGGGTCCAGCCAGCCCTGACCAGGCTCCCCCATGCAGCAGCTGTCCTTGCTCTTTCAGCATCCAGCTCAGCCCAGGCCCCAGAACCACCTGCCAGTCACCAGATGCTCCAGCTAGCCAGGGCCACCACCTGGGCTTCCATGGTCTTTCTCACATACCCATGTCACTGGGATTCTCTTACTCTCTCCTGATCTCCTCCCACATCTTCCTCCTCTCTTCCACCAGCTCCAGGAGGCCCTGGCTGTGGGACCACTGCCTCAGTCCCCCTCTGCCATTTATTTAAAACTGTCACATGGTTCTTCACGGATGATTGGGTGAAGGATCTGTGATCCTGAGTTAATGCCTGTTCTTTCTGCATGGCCTCTGCATAACATAGCTTAAAACAGGAATCTTGGGGTGAGGGGAACATGAAACCCAGTGACTCATGAATGCCTGGTTGAGCCTCACCCCAAGTTCATTTTACCCATTGGCTGTTCACTGAAAGAGAAGGAAGTCCACTAGGAGATCCTGAACCCAAGACCATCAGCCCTGCAATCTTTTTCTTGTTTATAGTCCCTTATTTTTAGCACATGTTGAGTCGTCCCCCACGTTTCTACAAATGTAGTAATGTCAGTAATGAAGCCTGGCCTGATAGCGTCTTCAAAC